TGCAGCTGGAGTGGTTCAGCTGAAATGTGGCAGGTCATTAAGCTGGAGAAATGCACTCAAGAGATCTGACCTCCGTGGTGTGCACAGTGCTGCTGTAACTCCCCCACAAATTAGCCCTTATTTTCTGATGGAAATGCCTCCTGTCTGGGATCTGTAGGCTGCTGTGCAGGGGATGTTTTGTGTGATCTGTTGGAAGGTCCTTGGAAAAGTGTTAAACCAGTAACACTGTAGTGGGCTTGGCTTGTACCTAGGAGGGTTTCTCCTCCATGGAGCTGCAGTCTGACTTGTTGCATGTTGCTCTCAGGCCAGTCAGAAGAAGATGATGATTCAGAAGGGTCTGCTGGACAAGCATGGAAAGCCCAACGAGAGCACCCCTGATTCCTGGAAGAAGGAGTATGTGGATTATAGGTGAGTACAGGGTGTCTGGCTCCCTCGTGGCTGGGGAGGGCTGGATGCTGCTGTTTGTGTTTGGAGCATGTTAGACCTGGCCCAAGGCCTGGCTGTCCAGACCTGTGAGGGACAGGGGCATGTCTTGCAGTCCCAAGGAACACCCTGCTAGTGGGCAGTGCCGGAGGGAAAGGCCCTGAGCAGACAGTTATCCCTTTCTAGCCTGTCCATGTGGTTTTAGAGGGAGTCAGTCTGCTAAATTAAATGGAGGAGACCTTGCTGTTGCCCAACCCAGCCAGCCCTGGTGCAGGCTGCAGGTCTTCCCCACACTGCCACCCTTCCCAGTGCTTAGTGTGGATTATGTGGCCAGGGCTTTGTATCTGTGCAGAGCAATGTGAGGCAGCAGCTGCCCTGCTTAGCCTGGGGATCTTCTCTTTCAGGGATGCTTCCAAAAAAGAGGCAGCTGCCATTCCCCGAGCTGTTCCAGAGCTGGAGAGGGCTCAAAAAGTGAGTATCTTGCAGCTCTCTGACTGTAAGGTTGTTTGGGTGGATTGCCTGGTGAAGGGTGGATGTGTGTCTGTTCCTTTAGGTCGTTGGCATCAAGCTGCTTTGATTGTTTTATAGGGGAAAGTGTTTTGTATTCTGGGAGCCCAAACATGCTGTGGATGCATCCATCTGTAGGGTGACCTGTTTAGGGCCTTGTCCTTGAATGTTTGTCTCCAGGATGTTGTACTTTGTGTGCAAGTTCTGTAGCACAGTATGAGAATGGGGAGCTCTGACTTGTGCTGTACAAGCTGCAGCCTCCAAGGAAATTTGTTGCATAGAGCCACAAGGAAAGTTTGTTGTGCCAGAGAACTTTTCTGGAGAGTACAGACAGTTGCCTAAGTGTCTGTACCAGTGTTTCCTTAAGATCTAAGGCCCTAAATCATGCATTTGGAAGGTGCAGCAACGTTTCAAACTCTGGAGCATTTGGGGTACAAGAAACACTGAAATATGGGTGGAATCCTGGCAGAAGCAAATCCTGGACAGTATGTGGTGGTGGGGCCCATGAACAGTCTGTAGCTCACTGCCCTGCTCAAAGCATTACCTGTGAAGTTTGACTGAATTGGGCAGGACAGTTGCAGGGGGGCTTGCAAACAGTTTTCCCATCACTTGAGCTCCTTTGGAAGGTGGAGTGTCTGACAACATCTTCTCTTAACAGAGGAAACGGGAGTCAGAGAGCGAAAGCGAGGGGGCTGTGACCCCACCATCCCCTGCCACCCCACCACCCGAGGAGCTGAGCAAAAAGAAAAAGAAGAAGAAGGAGAAGAAGGCTAAAGAGGCAGCTGAGAGTGGGGGAGAGCAAATCGAAGTGGTATGTAACTGGTGTGGTCCAAGCATGGGAGAGATTGGATTAGTACCTTCAGGATAAACACATGAGCATCCTGCTGGGCATGTCCCCGAGGTGCCAGGCTTCCCACAGGCAGAAGAAGATGTCTGTGTAGGTCCATTTGTGCATTGGTTGAGTGTGGTATGGGAGGTGGGGCTTGTGGAGGTGGATCGGCAGTGGGGCAGGGGTGGGTTGAGCAGACATCTATGCCCTGGGGCAGTTGGGTGGGTGGATGTTCCTGCCAGCCACCTCTGCTCTGGAGCCCTGTAGTGGCCTCTGGGGGAGGATGGAGCCTGGCATGGCGCTGGCATTCAGTGTGGTGGTGAGGGAGGGTTGTGGCCATGGAGAGCCTGCACTGTGTCTGGAATTAGGTTGTACCTCCTGAAATGACCTTTCCAACCTCCTCACCTGAGAATTAGGAAGAAATTCTTTACTGTGAGGGTGGTGAGACCCTGGAACAGGTTGCCCAGGGAAGCTGTGGAAGCCCCATCCCTGGAAGTGTTCAGGGGCAGGTTGGATGGGTCTTGGAGCAGCCTGGGCTGGTGGGAGGTGTCCCTGCTCAAGCAGGGGGGTTGGAATTAGGTGATCTTTAAGGTCCCTTCCAACCCAAACCATTTTATGATTCTATGATTCACAGCCCAGTGAGACCAGCATCAAGAAGAAGAAGAAAAAGAAACAAAAGGAGGTAGAAGAAAGCTCGGAGTAAGCAGCTGGATCTGACCAAGGCAGGCGACCTCGGGAGGGAGGAGTCTGAGACCTGGAGAAAAACAGGACTGGCTCCGTGGCAGAGGGGCCAGTGAGTTCCAAATCCCTTTTCTGCTGTGTGGGTGTGTTTGCCCAGGATACACCTTGCATGGGTACCCCTCCTCATCCTGTTTTAAGGGTTGCCAGAGGAGTGAGGTGCCTGACTGCCCCTGTACTGGATTGCTGTCTAAAGCTGAACACTGTGATGCCAGTAGAAGTATCTTCAGGGAAGCTATAGTTCTTGCATCTTACTTGGTGTCTCTGTTTTCACCTTGAGAGGGAGGAATAACTTTTCTCACCCCTCTTGTCCTGCCTCTTTCTTTCCTTCCAAGTTGGGAGCTGTTACCTGATAGTCACAATGTGTTGGTGTCTGGAGGATTGGCTTTGTCACAGCCCATCTGAGTGGTTTGGATGGGGTATTTGCAGGGCTCTGGTTTGTTTTAACCTGGCCCTATGCTTGACTTGACCCTCAGCTAGATGAGATCAAATGGTTCAGCGGGTTTTTTTAATCTTACCATGAAATGATAAGACCATTAAATTCCTGCTTATTGCTTTAGAGTGTGGGGACCTGCTTGTTGTCTGATCCCCTGACCCAGTGCCCCAGTGAACTTTTCAGTGTGTACCTCTTGCTTGCTCTTCCCTATCCAGTTGTTGAAATGGGACCACAGTACTTCCAATTGCCTTCCTTGGAGGGGCAGAAGCAGAGAGACCAGAAGATATCTGGTCAGTGAGCTTTTTAGAGGGCTGTTGGGACTGGAGTCCTTGCAAAGAAAAGCTTGAGCAGAGGCAGAGCTGCAAGAGGCACTGGGTGTGGAGCTTGAGCAGTTTCAGAAAGACTTGTCCTAATTTTTTTATCTGGGGTGGCTCGCTGGGGGTGGGAGGTCTCTCCTCTGTCACAGGGGTAGTGCTGGCTCAGGATTTGAGCCCCTTTTAATGGGGAAGGGTCCAGGCTGCTTCCTCTCTGCAGATTCTGTAACGTTTGTCTTAGCCTCATGCGTTGCTTTTATCTTAACTTGGTATTTCTTCCCTCCAATGCTGGAGACACATGCAGGCAGTTGGGCCAGCAGATGGTGGCTGTCAACACCTGAGCAGAAAAAGTGATCCATTCTTATTTACTCTTTTTTTATATATATAAAAATAAAAGCCCTATTTTTGAACAGGTGATTTTCTTGCTCATCTGGCTGCTGTAAGAGGTCAGGGGGTCTGCTCCTGGGGAGGGGAAGCAGCTTAATGCAAGTGGGCAGGTAAATGGCTGCCCTTTCTGCCCTGCCTTTGTGCTGCTCTCCTGAAGAAGCTGTTGGTGCAGAGAAGTGGTCATGTTGATGTGGACCATCAGCAGGGGGACCTTTGTGCCTAGTCAGGACTTAACAGGTGTTCAGGGCTCACCCTACACTTTGGTAAAACCCACTGGAATGTGTGCATGGAAGCTGGGTGTTCTCTCCTGCTCTCCCTGTGCTGGAGAGAGCTGCTGGACAGGTCTGACAGTGGCTGGAAGGACCCTTGCTCAGCCTAAGAGGGAGAGGTAAAACACCAGTCACAGCAATGTTTCAGCACACATTTATTGCTGCTCATTATTTCCCTGCAGTGGTTCAGAACGAAGGTCCCTATTGCACATCAACAGATTTTATTTTTGGCATCCTTAAAAAATTGCACAAGACTTTTTGACCCCCTTCCCCTCTCCCCTAGCTGACTGGTGAACACACAGATGAGATTCTTTCACCTAAGTGATGGCTGTCATTTGCCCAGGAGCAATGGGGATGCTTCCCAGCCATGGTCATGGTGGAGCTTGTGCATCAGTACACTTGCAGAAGGAACCCCTTTGTGTGGATGGCTTTAATGTTTTCCTGCAGTCTGGAAAACATGCCTGGGTGATCTTTGTAGAGACACTTTTCTACTGCATGCAACAGATACTTGTGGCTGGAGCTAATTTACCCATTCAACTGTCCCTCTGGGATTTGGTCAGTGGGACTTCCTCAGCTGCTGCCTAGTTTCTCTGGCCTGGCAGTAACAATCCAAGCTGCACAGTGAGAATTTAAATACAGCATTTGGTTTTTTTCTTGTTCTAACTACAGTTGCACAGGGTGAGTCAGAAAACTCCAACCTCAGAACGCGGGGCAGGGTGAGACCTGCCTGGGGGTGGTGTCCTCCACACCACCTTACAAATCCACACTTGCCTTTTTGTGCTTTTTTCCCCATCTGTGAAGGGAAACCTGTGGATGATGGGGCTCTGGTGTGGTCTGTGTGAAGCCACCTAAGCTGAAGGTGAAGCCTCACAGACACCAGCCAGGCTTTTGAGGTGTTTGTGCTGCCGTGTGCACTCCTGCAGTGGCAAGGGACATCTGCCTGGAAAGCCTCTGCTCCACCCCTCCCCTTGGGACTGATGCAGAGGAGACTGGCTGGGGGCTTCAGCAGGGCTGTGCTTTTTCTTGCCTGGAGAGGCAGGGAGCTGTGCTCTGAGCTATGGGGGTGCCCTGGGCTCTAGCCACTAACAACCCTGCCTTGCAGTGCCACGGGAGGCAGCCATCCCCTGGGCAGCCCCTGTCCTGCATTCCCCCAAGGAGAGGAGATCTGGAGACCCTGTGTGTGTGTGTCAACCAATGGAGAACATGTCTGTGGAGCAGCAGAGGAAGGGAGTCGTGCTGGACTGTGTGTGGATCAGGGGAAGCTGATGAGAAGACTTCTCCCCACGGCTGCAGGATGATGGATGGGAAGCGGCTGGGGTTGGATGCCCTCTCAGTAGACCCAGGAGACAGGCACCCACTGTGGAGAGCTGCAGGCCTGCTCGAAGGCTTCCTGCAGCAGCTGGAGGCTTTCCTCCACCCCGTTGTTGACCAGCGAGAGGTCGAAGTAGTGTGCGTATCTGCTGCGGATGCTCTCGGAATCCTTCTGGAGCTGCTGCAGAGCCTCTGTCTGCAAGAAACCAGAGAGTGCTCCTGAGGCTGGGGCAGAGGGGAGTTTCACAGGCACACCCTCCCACCACCAAGAACATGCAAGTGGCTGCAAAGCATCAGCGCACAGAATGTCCCTGTAGCTCGGCTGTTGTGTCACCCTGGGGGTGTGTCTGGGGGTTTTGCTGGACTTCTCTGCAATGCTGGGAGTATCAGATCACCTGCTGGTGAGGCCACACCTGCTTGCTCTCTGTGTATCTTTAAAATGCTTTGTGGTGGCTCCCTGGGAGAAGAGGGTTCACCAAGCAGCAGGCTGCTCCTAACTACACCAAGCCATTCAGCCAGCCCTAAGGCTGATTTCAAGGTAGGATTCCTGCAGGATGGTGCCTTCCTTCTGGCCTTTTACTAGAATAGTGCTGGTTTCCAGAGCTGTACCAGCCTCTCTCTACTGGTTTTGGCTGGGATAGAGTTAAATTTCATAGTAAAAGCAAAGCTGCCTAGCTGGGGCATCGTAGGAGTGTGTCCCTGCAAGCACCTGTGCCCTCAACAGCAAAGTCCAGACCCTTTTCCTTGTATCTCTTTAACAGCTTGAAATGCAGGCAGCATTTCTTTTTTCCCAGACTGGGGAGGGATGAGCGTGAGGTCCTGTGCTTGCTACAGCTCTGCTGTGTGTTGTCTGGTAGCTCTTGGGGGTGGAGAGGGGCAAGGAATAAGCAGTTTGCCCGGCTCATGTGAGCCCTGTTGGGTCACATTTTGGCTCTGCTGCCTCCCTTCTAGTAAGCAGCGTCTGGAGCTCGCTATATATAGCGCCTGCATCAGCAGTGCTGGCCCTGCCCACTGCGGCAGGAGTTAATTCCTCCATCTGGAGGCATCCGGAGTTGGGAGAGGGGGGGTGATGAGGCAGCAGGCTCCCTAACTGCCCTTTCTGTCCTGATGTTTTCCCTCCTGCCCCCCAGCAGTTTACAATCCCTGTGCAGGTTAACGTGCCTCTAAATGCCTCTGCAATGCTTGCTGTGAAGGCTGCATAAATATCCTCCCTGCAAAGTAGCTGTAGCTGAAGCTTTACAAGCCCCGTGGCTGGCCATGAGTCCAAAGGAGCACAGCTCTGTGGGTTTTCCTCCCATGCTTCTGGCTCCCCATGGAGCTTAGCCCTCAGGGAAGCTGGTCCAGGCTGCTGCAGGGCAGGACTGACACTGCTCCCTGCCTGGGGAGCTCCCTGGGAAATGGCAGCATGTGGCTGCAGAGCCTGGTGCTGCAGGAGTTAACTGGGACGTCAGTGATGCTTTCATTCTAATTTTGGAGGCATGAGCATCTCAACCAGGCTAAGAATTAAAAAGAGCTGCTGTTTGTGTGTTCCATTTGCATGGCTGATGCCCCGGGTGTTGGGCTGTGTGCCCCCACTACCTGATGCTGCAGGGATGATGGTTGCTGGGGGGGATGTCAATCTGGACTAGGCTCTACAGCTGCAGAAATTGCTAATCCCTGTTCTCAGGTCTGTGCTCTCCTGGACCACAAACATCAATGCAGACAGGAGGGAGCTGCTGTGGAGCAGGGGGAGAGCCCTGGGCTGCTGCAGCAGGCTCCTTGCCCCTCTGCACCAGGCAGGCAGGACCTTCTGGAGGACTTGGCCTCCATCTCTGCCACCCACCTGTTCTGCCTTGTCCGTTGGGGCAATGAAGACGATGAACGGGGAGAGCTCGGCCGTGCGGACGATCTTCAGGGTCTGTGGAGAGAGGAGTGAGCCAGGGTGGGAGCAAGCACAGCCAGGCTGCTGTCCCCACTGCCCCCAGCCAGGGTGTGATGGTGCCACGGTACAGTGGTGGGCTAAAGGCACCACTCCCAGTCTGAGGCCATGGGCTTTCTGGGGGGATTCCTGAGCCTGGAGGCACTCAGGTGATGTGGGGGCAGGTGGGTGAAGCTGCAGCAGGGCTTCCCCTGCACCTCATGGGGAAGCATGTAAGGGCATCCCCAGCCCTGCTCCAGGCTGGTTACTGGGCACAACCACCACTTGACAAAACCCTCCACCCCCAGTCCCATGGCAGCCTGGCCTTGCTGTCCCAGCCAGGCACGTGCTGTGGCAGGGACTACCCTCACTGCATCCCTGTTTTGGGAAGGGAAATGCCACCCAGCGCTCCTTGGCTTTTTCCTTGGGGAAGGGCATGAACTGTCACAGCCAGCACAGGCAGGTCAATCTGTGGCAGGGGCCGGTGTGCCGCTCACC